AAACAATTCCTCTACCAGAAAAATAAAACTATTTAACTTAGAGAAGAGTCAGTGTCTTCTCTGAGGATGCTTTAAAAGATTATTTAAATCTCATAAATATTTAAAGACCTGCATAAAAGCTAATGGATTTTTAAGGAAAAACAAAGCAACAATGTGTTTTTGAGAAACAGCATCTTCTACTAAACCAATTAAATAAAAGAGTAAATCCTATGTTGTGACTGTGTTTTGAAAATTACCTCAGTTGAACTAGGTGGTATCTTTGCTGAAATACAGTCAGGATTTTGCTGAAAATAATGCAAATGCATTTCAGCTTTAACAGGTAAAGCTGCTGCTATAGGAAAATTACATGGCCTTAAAGAACTAATGTGAAGGTGCATGTTCCTCATCCTTCCCTTTCTTTCCTGCAAGTAACAGGCTCTGGCCTGTATCTGACTCCCATGCTCATTTTACATTTTATGTTGCCTGAAGACAAGACTTTAATGGTTTAAAAGAGTAGCCATGATGTTTCTGAAAGGGGTTAAAAGAGTAACTAAATCTGTTTTACTTTGATAATAAAACTACTCAGTGCAACCACTTATTTCTCCAAGGATAGTGACTGAGTATATTTAAGCATATAGTGCATATTTACAGAAATCCACGTGCATTTGAAGGTGAGAACATTTTCAAGAGTGTGGAGCAGCATTTGGTTAAATAGGGCCTCACATGGTCTATCTTGGCCACTCGTGGGGAAAGCTCCCTAAATTCTACAAAATCTCAGCTTTCACAGAGACCAAATGAACCTGAACACATAATTTTTGGGCAAAACCCCCACCCATTTCATTGTGCGCTACATATGCGTTTTCCAATTAACAATTAAGCTTGATCATGGAGAAAAAACCCATAATTTATAAATATTTTTAAGATAAAACAGTAGTCTGATTTCATTTACTTCAGTACAAAGCTGATGTGCACCACGCCTAAGTGAAAGGCCTTGCTACTACAGCCTTTGAATCTGTAAGAAGTTTAAGGTGATGTGAGTGATGGGGGGTGGTGATGTTTTTTCTCAATGCTCTGCTTTATTCTCACTGAACACACTGACAAACGTTAAGATGAAACCTCAGCTGAAGGAGATTCTGAAGAAATACTGGACCCTTAGCAACACTGTTACTATGCACATGGAGTACGTAAAACCTTATTCCCCTAAAAGACCGTGTCTGAGAAAGAAATAAAATTTTATTTTCTTTTTAAATAAAGATAAGGTGCTTGCAAATGTTTCACAAACCTCTAAATATACTGTAAGCACAATTTGAATAGTTGCAGGATTCATAATATAAACTCAAAATGACGACCGCGGTACCGAAGCAGATAACTAGTGGAACCAGAGATATAGATCTTTTCTGTGAAAAGCACGTTTCCACCTCTATGCTCTGGGAGAAACAGAGCATTTGATTCTGATTCCAGAGAAATAGAAGTAAAGAGGACAATAGCATCCACAAAGGGTTGCTGCTATAATAAGAGAGGGCATGTGAATGGGAAAGGCTTGAGGCAGCCTAGTTATCGCCTAGAAGAGGACTAGGCCCTGCAAAGAGAGATGGTTCACAAAAGACAGTCCTGCAAGAAAGCAAAGTGAATAGGAGAGGAAAATGAATCTTTTCACTGGATAGATGAAGGATGCGCTCAGAATAATGTGCCACTAGGAATAAATCCTCTTTCTCCTCTCTCAGAAGCTGACTTGGGAATCAGAGCCTACAGTGTATTAATGATTGCAATGAGTTAATGAACAGATGCTGTGTTGGTGCAGTTTATGAAGCATCCAGCAATTTTTCAAAACTTTGCTTTTTCCTCCGAACTGTTGCTAAGAAAGAATGGTATCACTATAAATCTCTAAGCAAATTCTTTGAATATGTTGCTTTTAGCAATTTTATATTTTCTCTTTATCGACCAAAGCATTAGTGAATTGCTGTATAGTGTCTCAACTTGCTTGTAAAAAGTAAGATGCATAGGTTTATATACATCTGGTCACCAGAAACAAAGGGTTTCTTTCTGTTCCAAAAGCACAACTGCACACCAAAAGCAGATTGGACTGCTAAGGACATAACTAAGGGTCATGCATGCTGATATCCTGGGGAGAGAGATCCAAGCTCCGCTGCACTCACAGGCCCTCAGGCCCTCGGTCGCCTTGAAGCTGGCAGGGCTCTAGCCCTGAGTGATGGTGCACAGCAACACCTTTTGTTTGATGCTCAGAAATGGCTGTTTTGTACCCTTACTCCCCATGGAAGCAGGGATCCAGGTCCCAGATAGCTGTACTGCAGAACCCCAGCACTGCTGCCCTCACCACCTTGCAGGGACATGCACCCAACAGGTTCAACAGCTTCTGCCGTAGGGAAAATGTTGGGGTTTTTCTTCCCCCTCTAAAAAAGCTATTTCCATCAGCAGCCTCTCTGTGGCCTATTTTACTTTCCCAGCTGAGCAGGCCAAGTGTCAGATGCAAACCGATGGTGTGCTTTTGATTTTGTACACCCACATTCACAACAAGTCTCCCTCAATCAGCATTGTTCACACTTGCAACAGAGGTTACCAATTATACTGCATGTTTTACATGGCAACTGTTTACAAGAAAATCACATTGTTTATATATTTTTGCTGCAGTTAACAAATTATCCTAAATGTCAAATTGCTTGAACAGAAATAGGGGAGCCTACTCTATGCCTTAAAGCACTACAATTGTTGGTAAATTGCACTCAGCACAGAATTATAGACATTTAAACATCATTCGGAAAGAAAATACTTTCCCAAGGGATTCATCTGACATCGTAAACTATGAAAGTGAAGGCTTAACAATTTATAAATGTCAGCAGAACAAAACCACCCCATCTTCTGAGCATGATTGGTCACGTGCAGTTAACAGTTTAATAGTTGCACTGTACTGCTATTGATCTTGCATAGCTTTTGTGAAATTAATTTGATAGATGCTCATTTATCATTAATTGCGCTGTGAGCTTCAGAGGGGATTGAGAGCAGGAAGGAGGTAGGAGGTTGGCTCATGAACTGGACCCAGGAGTTTGTGGCGTAATGAGAAAAAGTGAGCCACATGTATCATTCTGCATGTAAGAACCATCCATAACCATCATCCTCGTCCTCACTGCTGTCTTCTCTGTCATTCTGGCAGCACTTTTTATCAGCTATCAGCTATCAGGGTCATTAGGCACTTAAAAAATCAGTGTTTTCTGTTTTCATACAGAGGTCTTGACAGTCAGGGGCTGTGGCTGGCTTGCAGGTACAGTTCAGGGCAGCAAGGAGCCAACTCAGTCCTCTGCTCAGGCACTGCTAGGTGGTAGGAGCATCAGCATAGCACGTCCACCTCTCTCAGCTCCCCAGGCAAGTTGGTGAATCCCAGCTGCTTCAGAAAACCACCACCACCTCAAGACATTATTGGTGGTACTCTTGTCTCAAACTGACCAGTGCCTTTTCTTCTCAAGGCTGACTCACTGCCTGGGAAGATCTTACTCATCTGGAAACCTGCCATGTCACATGGTGTGTGTACAGTTGCCACTTCTCCTCACTCTCCTAATAGCTGCCCATAAACAATCCAGCTCTGGGGAGCAAAACTGCATTTCAGTGCTCTTGTTTTCCTCCTGGAGTCCCCTTTGCTATGAGAAGATCATCATCATCATCATCATCATCATCATCATGGCTAGGCTTCGCGAATGAAGATTTGAGAAGGGCTCTACCCACGCTTGCTACAAGCGCGCTGATGTATGAGAAGATAAGGTCTCATGGTCTGCTCACAGTCCCCACGCAGCACCTAAACCTGTGCACACTGTGGTGAACTGCCCGTTGTGTTCAACCGCTGCTTATTTGGGACACTGCCACCAGGATTGTAGATCAAAGGTTTGGGTAAAGGAATACAGTTTGTCAGGATCAGAAGGACAGAATGCTCCCCGAGTGAGATCTGCAATTTGCTTTTCACTCATCTGGCCAAGCGTGGGTGGAGCAGTGGTCCACCAGCACCACTGTTCATGGGAATGACTCCATCACAGACCTTCATCACAGGTCAGAGGCAACAAGCCAGAACTCCATGCCTGTCACTTTGCTTCCTGACACTGCACTGCTGTATTTCAGCAGGTTGAGAGTATGGTCTGTTCCACAATATGACAATTTACCACTACTTGGTACTTCTGATATAAATCCTTGTGTTTTTTCTAGTTGCAATGATAAATTATAAATATTTGCTCTAGTCTTAGTAATGAGCATCATTCTAAAATTTCAGAAGGGCCTCATTAGTGCTCTTGCCTGTATTCACCCTATTTAAATTGAGTAGCAAATGGGGATAGACAGTTCACACAAAATTGCACTAGCAAACCATAACCCATCTCTGTATCATACTTTACACTTTCCAAGCCAGTGGTGTCTTTCTGTGCTTTTTCAGCAGCAGATCCGTAGTCACTGCAGAGGGAGCTTTACTATTAATTATGATGATAATGCAGTATGATTTGCATTTGCTTCATACATATTGCATATTTCATATGGATAATAAGGGACATAGTGCAAATACCCAAAGAAAAGGCATAATGGGTTATAATACCTAGACAGGGAGTCTAGAAAGAGAAAGAAAAACATAGTTGTTGAGAAGTATTTTGGGGAAATCTGAACCAAAGAGAGTCTTAACAAAACTGACCGTGGAGACAGGAATTAGAACAGCCTCAAGAAAGGTGCTATTTCCATGTATTTTCTCCCAACTAACTGGCAATTTAGAAGATGAACGTCCTATGCAGGCTGGCATTAAAAATTAAATTGAGATTAAATTGAAGAAGAGAAAGGAGAAAGGAGGAAAAATGTTGAAAACAAATGAAAGGTGAGAGAGATGCACGCATTAAAAGTAGTAAATTGTCACTCAAACGACAGTGACAGGAGTGTGACAGGTAAACAGAAGGATTTTTTTCTTCCCCAACAACAGAATCATTTCAAGCATGTTTCTCTGTGTCTTCTTATTTACATTAATATCTATTTGATCATTACAGGTTATGAAAAATGAAAAATGACAAGCAACAATTTTCTTCAGCTACAAGGACAGCAAGTGCTAATGAAGCAAGATCAGCCTACAGCAACCCTGAGTCCACAAACAGCTGATGACAACTGGTCGGTCCCAGTCAAGTCCCTGCCCTCCATGTGCCTTTTCTATGAAGTGAAGATTGTATTTGTTACAGCTTCTTTTCTCTGAGCTTTTCATATGGGATACCAGCCCATCTATCAGATCGCATTTCATCATCTCTCATGGTAATGCTTGGGCCATATATCATATTTTCTAATAAATCTTAGCTTTGCCAGCCTAGCAGAGTATCACATTACCTTTTAAAATACTGCTTTCAGCACTGGATACACAGGGGCTGCATCTTTCACGTGGTTGTTTTTTTTTTTTGAAGTTTATCAAAATGAAACATGACTTCTACTGTAAACGATATTCCCATTTAGTGTTTAATGATACATCTGCTTCCCATCATCCACAAATTCTGATGGTTTGCTAAAGAGATATTTTGTTTAGTGTCAAGCTGTATGCCAAGCTGAAGATTCGTTATCTTCAGCCTATCAGCAATGGAAGCTGGTGTAATTATGAGTTGGGCCTAAGGGCTGAAATAGCTTAGTTATTACAACAAAAACCTATTTTACAAGTTCTGGATTTAACATCACGTTGACAGAAAAAACATCAGCTTTAAAATCTGAGGTGCCATCAAGCACTGTTATTGCTTTCTACTCAAAGGGTAAAAATGATGTTCTGCCATCAATTACTCAATCCAGAAGCTACCGCTATTGGGGTGGAAAACATGAGAGAACATAATGATATCTTTTCATCAGCTTCTGTTGTACTTGATAAGCCACGTGGACACATTCAGAATTTCATGGGATAACAGAGCACAGAGAAACCTGTTGCTGCAGCCCAAATCTGTGCCCTATTCCACAGTCTCTGGGTTGGGTACCACTGTCTGCTGTCCAGTGGGCACCTCAGCAGGGTTCAACACCCAAGATTTAGGCAATTATTTTCCAAGGGTGGCAGAACATGCAAATTACAGTAGACCTACAGTAAGGTAATTTTTGCAAGTTAAGCCGTGAAAAAAGTTAAACGCAATTTATTAATTTCCATCTAAATTAACTCTATATTTTCTTCTTTTTATTTTCCTCTAGACTCTAAGACTTTTCAAAGAAATTTTCTGAACTTTGATAGAATCAGTGGAAGTCTCAGTGGTGTAAATTATCTCTTACCTCCACGAAAACAATAATATGAAGGAGTTAAATGTACATGTTTTTGTTGCCATGCATATTGAATAAAACACGGTTACTTTGTGATTGGTATCCTAAATGTACATCCAAGACACATTGCTTATCTTGTTATATTTCTTATAAGTGGTTGTAGCATTGCTTTCAAAATGGTTCATAGAGATTTTCATTTTATGGACAATTACACTGAGTTGACTCTCAAAAAAGGAGACTTATACTTGCAAGAGTGAGAAGGAATAATTATTTTCTTGATTTCAATTACTTTCTAAGGCAATCAAAACCTTGTTTGATCAAATAAAGAACAGTACATAGATCCATATTTAAAATATGCTTCTTGCACATTGTACATGTAACTTTACATCAGGGTAAATAGGGTGATTTCTATGAACTGACAATAGGGCTTTCCATGTAATTAGTATAAATTGTTTGCATAGACAAATGATGATTTCAAAAAGAATCTTAATAGCAGAAGTTCATGCCATGACCTAAAATGAAAAACAGTCTCATGGCCACAGTTACTTTGACCAGCCATAAATTAAAAAGCCAAGCTGTAATTTGATTCAGATTCAGCTCCAAACAACTAAACCTGTTCAGTTTGAGTGTTTCAAAGATCAGTAACTAGAAGGCTCTTTCTAATGTTTGTTTCAGAACCATGTCCTCACCCTGAGGTTGTCCCTGGAGATTGCATATCTATATCTGGGGGACAAAACTCAAGGGCAGTTCCCTCTTCCCTCTAACACATTGTTTCCCTGAAAAAAATATGCAAACCACAGACAATCCAAAGTTAATTTCCACTTCCATTTTTAGGATCTAACCTCCCTCAGCCAGGTCTTGCTTGATATCACCAATTTTAGAGCTGCTTCACATAGTAGCAAACTATTCATACCATTATACCCTTAGATTTAACGAAAAGTTATCCATTATGGATAGTTAGCCATTTATGGTTCAGGAATGGAAATGGCCAATGCTGTAACCGTGTCTGAGGCCCCAGACCTCCTGGTTTACAATGATGACAATGTATTTGCAAAGAAGAGGGCTCTACAGCTCTAGAAAAGAAGATATGCTAAGGAGAAGGAAAAAAATCTCCATTTTTATCATTATTTTTTTATTAACTGTCACTCAGTAATTTCCTCCTAAGAAAGCCAATAGCTGAAGAGACATACCATGTTAAGGCACCTGTTCCAAGGTAGAAAGTAGCAATCCATTATTCTGAAAGACAGTTCAATATGTAATGAGAAATTCATGGTTTTTAAATATTACCTCTTTTCTAAGTGAAAACTCTACAGCCACTTGAGAAGATTGTATCTACACCCGTACCTAAAGTCTCTAGTTCTGCAAAGATCTCTTTCTGCCATGATCATGTCTTTTTTCTTGACACCCACAGGAAGTCTGCGAGTGGGGCAGTTGTGGTGAGTGCAGCCATTTCTACACATCCCATCCCAGACTGGGGACTGAAAGCTGGATTCTATCTTCCCTCCCACACAGACCATCAAAGTGATGCTCATTTCCCTGTGCTATTGCTGCCTTTGTCTTGTAGTGACACTGATGCTTTAGCTGTCACCTGAATGCCATCCCTCAACCCTCTCCTTCCTGCCACCGCTCCGGTCCCATTGATGAGTGCCATGGCACAGGAATGCTGCTCGGAGCTAAACCACCATGGTAATATTTCACTTCCCTTCATTTTTCACTTGCTGTTCTCCAAACTGGTTTTACTTCTCTCCCTCCAGTTCAGCTGCCAAATGAAAAAGAAAAGGAATAAAAAAGTTCATTACCTTAGACAGGTGACTGAAGTTCTTCATTGCACTTCTCAGACCCATCCCGGAATTGCACGGAAACCTCTGTAGCCATTAAAGGAAATTCACTTCACATGGACAGAAATTTCCAACTCAGGAGTAGAAGTTATGTTAAAAACAGCTTGGCTGTGTAAAGCACTTGATGAAAGGAGAATGTGATGGCCAAACTGCCTTCTCTCATCTGTGTCCCTCCTTGGCCTGTCACAGACTCCACGGAGATGAATGGAAAGACTCCCATTGATGTCAATGGGCTGGGGATCCAGCCCTTGATGTCTGTGCTTTGAGGGACTGAGCAAAGAGCACCTTTGTACTGCATATATCTAGGTAATTTTAATTGTGGAAGTGCAGTGAAACAGCACCTGTACCTAAAGGATGGAAAAAGAAATGTTAACAAGGGGTTGTGAAGTGCTGCAAGACAGGGGGAACTGCCTGTCAGTGAAAATAATGAGGAGTCTAGGAGAAGTGTTTGGTGTTTTTTTCAGAGAATATTTAAACAGCCTCTGCCTCTTTGTATAAGTGCAGTATTGGCTTTAGTTAATGCATACACTGGATGGGTATGTCCTTCCTTACTGAGATGTAGGAGAGGCATCTGCACCTCCCCAGCTCTCCTCCTCCCTGGCCAGCAAACCAGCTTCTGCTGGACGCAGCTCTGCTCCCCAAAAGCCAGACTTAATCACCATCTATCTGCCAGATACACCTTTTCTCCTCTGAAAGACTTCTCCTGCCTTCTCTGTGCTGAGAGTTTCCCTAGGGATGCAGGGCAATTTCCTCCTTTTGCTGCCCTACGTGAATTGACACCACATACATTATCTAGAGGACCTCCCTGAGAGTGCTGCACACGCCTGACAGTGTGGGGAGCACATGCCCAGAGGATTAGCAAGGGCTTGCCACAGGGAGCTGTAACTACTGCAATTTTCCCTCAGGACAGGAGATCCAGTCTATCCTGCTGCTTGATCCTTAAAATAGCCTCTTTATTTTCCTGCTTGCAAACTAGTTCAATTTTCTGAAGATTAAATTCTCTCTGCATTAATGATGGAGGAAATCAGCTTTCTTACAAGAAGTTTCTTTAACATTTCCCTCGGCTACAAACAAATCTGAGCTTTGAGAAGTTATCTTTTAGCAGGAACGTCTGGGAGCTTGAAATGCTCTTACTCTTGCTGGTATTACAGGTCACTGCCCTTCTCAGCATTCACCAGAGCTGAAACACTAAATAGCTTGTTATTTCTATTTAGAAATGTGTCTATGCTTGCACCCCCTAGTAACCCTAGTGTAGCAAAGAAAGATTAAACATTCAAGTAATTTAGCTTAGTTCCAGTTCATTTTCAATTAACAGGAGAAAATCCTCTCAGACATAATAGGCTATTTTTGGTTGGAGGTTAGTTTATTTGTCTGACAAAAGTAAGCATTTAGGCTTACAAGTTAAACTCACTAGTTTTTTTACAAATGTAGTTTATTAAATAAAAAAAAAAATTAATGAAAAAAACAGAGAAAATTAAAATACTGATTTCAAAGGTATTTTCCCTTTTCAGGAAGTTTTAAACTAGTAAATACCCTAAAATAAAATCAATATAAAACATTTCAGGGAATAAATTGTAGTATTATTATATAAGGTTTTATTTCTTAACCTCTAACCTTTCTATATGTTTATTTACTATATTTAGAATGTAAAACCTGCCCTGGACCAATTTAGCAAAGTCAGCTTGTGTCTTACGATACCATTCTTGTAAAATCTCATTTAAGTAGCTGCATTTGAAAACACAGATATCTCAGTTTTGCTGTTTTTTCTATTAAGGAATCCTCTCCAAATGTCTTTTCCCTGAAACCAGCAAGACTAGAACTTCCTGCTTCACCCACTCTCAAGCTGCCAACCATTATGTTTTGTGTTTCTCCCTGTCTTTGAAAAGTTATAAATCCTCTTTTTTTTTTTCTTTTTTCTTTTTTTTTTACAGAGTCATATTGTTTTCTGAAGCAGGGCAGAAGTCATTGATGGGCACATATACTGATATGCATCCAGAGAGGTATAATGAAAGAGGATAACAAAATACTATGAAAAATGCAGGAAATCCCAGAGCACTTATAAGCTGTCTGATACACTTCTGATTTACACATCTGGCAAGAACTCTGGCAAGAAGTAATGAGAAAGTTACAGAGTATGAGGAATCAGCAGTGCAGAGGACACTTCGCATCTGTGAGAAGTGCAGGAAAACACCACCACCATTCTCACTCAAGCTGGTTTGACAGAATTAAAAATGAACGCTTTCATGAAATAAGCAAGCATCAAAGTCACCTCTCCTCCAGCAGTTCCCACCGACCAAGCATTTCCTCTCGCTGCCTGACAGAAGGAAAATCTGTGTCCCCAGTTCCTCAGAGACACAATATGCTCCAGTTCCAGGGCGACCTGTGTTTAGAAAATCAATTGAAGTGAAAGGGAGAACGATAAACATTTGAGATCACTGGGGAGCTAATGATCCTCTTACAGTCCAAAGACACCACAATTATAGTAATCTTTACACAAGACTGAGAACAGCAGCTCCTACCCTGAGCACACATGTGGGAAACCTCCCCTGGGACTGAGTGCTCCTGACAAGCCAAGGTGTCACAGGGGAGCTGTATCAGGCAGTCACTGCTCTGGGGTGAAAGGCAGGTCTGTTCGGTGCCATGTTTATGATAAAGGGACACATATTCTCATCTATAAGGTACATTAATCTTTTTTGATTCTTTATTTTTTTGACTCACCTGTACCTTTGGTGTTTTTGTACTTTGCATCCCCTGTTACAGAATGGAAAGATGAGGAGACAGAAAAATAGCCATGCTGGGACATGGCTGGCTGTATCTAGGCAAAAAACCTTGTTTCAGGGTGAGGTTTCCTACAGAAAGCTGCTTCTTCAGGGAGGGTTTTCCTATAGAAAGCTGCCTGGTGCCCTGGGACCCAGCCTCTCCCATTACCTCCCCATGCCTGGCCATTTCCCAGTCTCTGATAAGGGAGTGCTGATGAGGTTCAGATGTGGAGTTGGCAGCCATAGGTCCCAGTCGTGCTCTGCCTGCCAGAAAGCTTCAGAAACCAAACATATTGAGTTTAACCAGTTTCCAGTGACAGAAGTTTAATTTTTCTTTCCTTTGGCAAATCTATTTAGCCTTTTTTTCTTAGTTGTTCTGGATAGATAAACACGGGTTTGAATCACAGATTTCGAGATTCACACATGAGTCAGAAACTTTGCTCTAGTTTTCTAATTTTATCCCTGTGGGTTTTTATTTTATCCACTTGTCCTGCATAGCTTGTTTATCTCCTGTATTCTTTCAGCCCACTTCTGTTTGCTTCGTGATTTGTCTCTTAGCACGTTGCTATTCCACCTTCCTAAAAATAAAATCTTAATCTTCTCATTGATTGCTCTGCCACCCACAACTGCAATTTATAAAGGCCTGTCACCACATTCAAGTGCCAATCTTCCTCAGTGAACAAGAACCACTTGACGGTGTTTTACATCCTTCTGAAACCTCATATTCTGCTCTAGATCTGACAGACCCAGGCTAGTATACAAAAACTTGGAAGTCAAAATTGGATAGACTGGGTGGGAAGGAGGTAGCATCTTTCTGGAATAGTTTGTATGTCCCATGGACTGATTTTTCTTTCAGTCTGCTGTCTCTGCACACTCACCCTTTATACAGGAATCTGTCTCTTTTTTTCACCTGCAGAAAATGGAGTGCCATAAATAAGTTACCATCTCCCCACTTACAAGTCCACCTCTTTTTAGAAATCTGTGCAAATAAGAGACATTTATCAGGCGCTTGATATATGTTTTCCTCCTTATTCTACTTGTTCAGTGCCCCCCAGGCAAAACCAAAAAACCAGTAACATACTTAGCCCAGCAGGAAATTTCTATTATTCACTTCAAAGAGCATTAAATACAAATTTGAAGTCTGAGTACTAAGATGACCCATCCTTGAAGAAAATAATTCAGTTGAGTAACTATTTTACACAGTGATACTATCAGAATTATCCAGAGCTTATTCTTACTGCCCCCCGTGCAAAGCCCATATGTAGAACAACAGCTGATATCTTTCTGAAGACCACCTAGTCTTCAAACACAGATTCAGTTGAGTAGTTAAACTATCTCAATGCTGAAACAATCTCTTTTCCCTTTATTATTGACTGAATATAGACAAATTTGTAGAAATTGCTCTCTGAAAAATAGTCAATTGCATTCAAGAACATTTGTAACTCTTTAAAAATACAGGTCATAGAGACAGTGCTTAAAATTACGGTTTCCTACCTCTTTTGCCTGTACTCCTAACTTAAATTAAGGTTTACATACTGGGTTATTTTAAGCAGTGAGCAGACTTTACTAGAAGTCAAAACCAATGCAGTTTGTCTTTCCTAATTAAAAAAAAAAAAAAAACAACCAGAAAATCCTACAGCAATCACCACGGCAAAGCCCCAGTATTATGCTTGTGAAAGGAAACAAAATGACTTCTCAGAAAAGAAGATGGGCATCTCAGCAGAACCATTTTAATCTACAAAGTAGCAAATTGTGTGACTGAGTGGTTTTGACTCCAAAGCAAAATTTATGCAGTGAGGACTTCTGGAAACAGCTGGGTCACGCTCAGTCCAGAGCCCAACTACTGGGACTGAGGCAGTTTTTTCACTTTTAGATGATTCTTTGAAAAAAAACCACAAACCACCCAAAACATGAGATAGAAATCTTAGTTTTTCATTTGTAAGAGGATTTTCTGCAATTTTCTAGTTAGTTTTCTCTTTTTAACCTTCCTACAGAGTTTCCATCCTTTGACCTCTGTTAGACTTTGCACATGGATTACTTCTTTACTGAAACTTAAAAATATATTAAAATTCACTACAAGTTTTAGAAAAAGAGATCTGAGGTTTTCTTTTACATAGTAAAAAAAGTTCAAGATGGAAAATTTTTGTTGAGTCAAACAGAGTGCTTTTCTATATGAAGAATTTGAGTCTGATGTTACTCTCATGCTTGAAAAAATGTAGAGTCTTTGAAGTCACTCTATCAAAGTCAACAACTACACAGTAATAAAGAAAAAATTGAACTGTTTGTCTTCTTTTTTTGCTTGTTTCTTCCCTTAATTTGAAAAAAAATAATAAAAATTGTCTGATTTACGTTTGTTCTTTGTGTATATAAGGCATGACAAATACATTCAAATATGCAGACCAAATACAGTTCTGATAAAAAATTCAGGATTCTTTCCTTTCATTTTCATGGACTGAGTTTCAGGGTTTCATTTTGATATTTTTTGGAATTCACATTTTCCTGTGTGGTCTCCTTTATCTGGTTTATTAATATTTCTTGTGTCTTGAACAGAAATGACAGGTTCTGCTGCACTTTTGACACTAAGAATCGAAAACATACATCAAATCAATGTTAATGAAGCTCACAAGTTTCTCTGCATTCTGTATTTTATGGCATAAGGGTGAGTCATAGCTTTGAAGCAATGGTGAACTTGGATGCAGTGGCTGCAAGAAACACGTGAATAAAGTGGAAAAATTAAACTCAGAAGAGGACTGGATTAACTAAAATGAATTAACTATTTTCCCAGAAATGAGATTAAAATAATTTTTACAGAAAGAAATGGCAAGTGATTCTAACTGTATAAATACAAGTGGAATACTGGTGCTTTACTCTAGGATGTTCTTTCATTTAAAAAAATAAATAAATCAAGGTATTTAAAGCCTGGATGGTTTTTTGTTTGTTTTTTTTTTAATGAAAAATTCAATTATGGTGATTACGTTGAGAACAACGAGATGAACAAGGCTCGCATTTTGGCAGGAGCTGAATGTACCTGTGCCAAATTTTCCACACATAAAGATTATACAAGGAAATTTCAAATGGAGGAAAAATGTCAGAGTGGGCTGTTGGGCTGTGTGGTGTGACCACTGCCCAGTCTGCCTCACAGCAGAGAAACTGGAAAGGCAAGAGCTGATGATGCTGGCACCCCTACTGTGTCCCTTCTGATGTCTGCAAGGTTCATCACTAACTTGTTTTCTCCTTCGTTTTGGGTTTGACAGCCAGGCTATCTTTCCTTTCTTTGCTCTGTCATTTGTGTGTTCATGGTTAAGCACACAGAAAGCAGCTTGGAATACATTCCAGTGCCTTCTGATGTCTCTGTGGAGGATTCCCCAAACTTCCACTGGCTGAATCCTGGCTTTTCCTGGTTGTACACAAATGCCCTTCTCCGTGCCACTGTGAAGACCTTACTCCCTCAGAGGGCTGGTTTTATATTTTTAAATCTACCACTAGCACCAAATTGCCCCCCAGATGCTGTTTTCGAGGCTACATGAATGAAGGCATGTATTTTTATTAACAAAATGCCTTCCCCCTGCAGGAGAGAGGTGCTCCAGGTATTCTGTGAATTCAAATATGCGCTGAACAAGTGGTTTCCCACAGCCCCTCATATCACTTGACTCTGCCTTATATTGTGCCCTTGACTCTGCCTTATATTGAGAATAGCTTTCCCAAAGCAGTTCTGGCATGGGAAGGTACCAGCGAGGACACTGAGAAGTGCCAGCAGAAAGGTTACTGCAGTTGTACCCAGAGCAGCCAAGGACCTCATTTCATCCATCTGCCTGCACTTCAGGACAGGCCGAGGAGCACCAAGAGCTCCTCAGTACAGCCAGGGTGGTGGGGGAAAGACTGAGAGAGACTTTCCCTGTTTCAAAAGCAGAATATATTAATCCTCTGAATAAGTCATACGTACTCTCTTAGAGAAAGCACGGGGAAAAGCATCAGCCACTGTGCTCAGAAAAAGAGAAGCAATGGAAATGGCAGTAGGTCCAAAATCATGAGGGACCAGCCAGTGGGGTGCCACCAGGCACAGTTGCAATGGATATGTCTTCATTTTTGAGGAATCTCTCCCTCTTAAGAGCTCAGCAACACTTGAAGTGCTTGGCATGCTGACCTAAATCAAATTGACTAGAGAAGTAAATTTGCTTTAGTTCGGGTAGAGAGAGAGGACACATTTTCATACACAAAACTCTTTGGGGATCTGAATTATCTTTCTTTCCTTGCAGTCCAAAGAAATATGTGATCATTTCCTATGCCTGTGCATGGTTAGTGGCTCCTGGGGGAAAGAAAAAGATGTTATGCTTGTTGCCTGGCTAGCATTTTAGAACTCCCCAGATGTGTTCCACTTCTGTGCATCCCCAGGAGGGCAACTGCCACGCACAAGCACAGGCAGATCAGTTGACGATTCTGTTGAAAGGGAGGTGAACGTTGTCATCATCTCACACAGGACCTAGAGCAGCTTTTGCCAGGAAAATGCAAACTATGACTTTTGGAAGGAAGCAGAGCCACAAAGCAGTGGTGCTGAATACAAACACGACACCAGTCCTGCAATAGGGGTGATAGCACAGCAGGAGCAGAAGGAAAAGTGCAAGTTTCAGGATTTCATCTACAGTATTTAAATGAAAAAGAAGAGGCAGAAATGTCAAAGAAGTGTATTTTAATTATGATAGGGAGAAAGATTATAGCTATATCTGCATGGAAGATGTAAAACCTATTTTACAAAAAGGGATTATTAAAAATTTGACTTCAAGTACAAAAACGTTCAAAAGCCTATCCCAAGATTTTTCTATAAATAAGCAGAGAGGAAGTTTTGTTTAAGAGCATGAGGCTTATGTGCAGTATAACTAAAAGATTTAATTCCTAAAAATATAAAGGATAATCAAAATTAAAGAAACTCCAACAATCTCTTAATCCCTAACAGACCTAATAATTTTAAAATATATCTTCCTACATCACCTTTCTGCCCTGCCCAGTTTTCATATCAGTGACATATTTGCAAAGGCTATAGAGACTCCAGTGAAATCACGTCCTGTGGTCCAAACAAAGGCTTCCCATAGTTTCCATGTCTTGCTCTGTCCATGGTGGTAAACAGACAATATAAATAGACTGAGCCCTTTCACTCCCTCTCGCTAACTAAAATGCAATCAATACCTCATCATCCTTTCTACTGCACAGCAGTCCACAGGTTATTTCGCTTCTAAACACAACTATTGAGACTGTGAGCATCAAAGCAAATGGCAGGATTGTCCTGCACTAATGTGATTCTGTCCCTAATGTGATGGCCTGTGAAAATAGGTTGCCTCCATCCTTGTGATATTCAAGTTGCACCTTTACCAATTCCTTCCTTTTGGTCCTACAATTGTTTTCTTTTGTTGTGGGAGCTCAAGACGTTCAATGCTCCTTTAATAATCCCTAATTAAAGATCTTCAAGAATTACTCTGGCAGCTTGTGTCTGAGAGGATCTCCTAGTGGAATCCACTCAACACATCACTGCCAGAGCTGTGGCAAAGGAAAGAGGGGTTCTGGGGCCCTGAGCCTCCTCTGTTGTGCCCAGAGGGTCTGGAGCTCAGACTCCTTTTAGAAAGTTTTTTTGTGATCTCCATTCACTGAAGATTAAGTGCCAGTTTTCGTGGTGTAGGGATTGGTAGCACACAGATCACTGTGTGTTTTTGGAAAAAGTGGAAATCTCATCCTCCCCCCCCACCACATCCCCCCCATCCCTGCTTCTGAATGGTTTACCCTTGTCTAGATCTTCTCAGTTTCAGGATGAAAAAGAAATTTAACAGGTGCACTCCTGCTTAATTTGATTGAAGTTCTTTGTTAATGCTGCCAGATTTTCACTGAAGACCAGCTTTGTTGTGCTCCACCTTCACAAAGAACAGGCCTTTCTGATGTTCGGTGCTATTACACTTTCTGGCAGTTTCTGTGTTCTCCAAAACATCTGCAAAACAGGTCAGATGATCCTGTCCACAGTGTGAAATATAATTGTAAGATGCACAACTCAGAAGCATAAACTCATGCTCAGAGAACCTCAGATTTTGCATGATGGAATTATCATACTCTGCAAAGCTGTTGACAACTGCCAAATACATTTCATTTATAGTGAAGTCTGAGAAAAACATAATTAGCACCTCATATTAAAAAGAAAGCAGCATGCTGTTGACA